TTTTTTTTATAAAGTTTATAAATAAGAAACTTCAAACAGTCGATCTTACCCCCCTCTCTCTTTTTCCCCTCTCTCCCCATCACCTTTCTCTCTCTCTCTCTCTCTTCCCTCGTCACCTTTCTCTCCCTCTCTCTCTCTCTCTCATTTTTTTTTCGATACGCATACATCAAATCACTTAAATTTGGATTAAAGTAATGTTATGAATCATTTTTTTTTTTTTAAAACACACACACTAGGCCGAAAGGGTAATAATAATAATAATAATATAAAATTCTCAGCAAGTGAATTTAAGATTCTTTTAGAGAAAGCTGGTATTATATTGTGGTGTCCAAGGTTCCCACCTCCGGGTAAAATAATAGATCGATACGTTGATTGATCGATTTTAATGATTTTTTTAAATTCTAACACTTGTCGTTAATAAAATGTTAGGCGAGAGACACATACTACGATCCCTTAAAAAAAAAAAAAAAAAAAAAAAAAACATTTTTTTAATTTTATGAAAGTTAATAATTTTTTTTTTTTTTTCTGACATTTTATTTTAAACGGGGACGTTTAATAAATTCCCTACAATACACATTCATGTCGGTTATTAAAAGAAAAAAAATTATTAACATAAAAATATTTTTTACTTAACATCAAATAAGGTTTTTTTTTTTTTTCCCCATTCATAAATTTTTATTATGTTTATCAGTTGTTAGCACTGAAATACAAATTATATGCATATTTATATATAGGGACCCATATACTTTCATTCATTTCTTTCTTTCTTTCTTTCTTTCTTACGTTCTATAAATATTTTAAGGTCATCTCTCATACACAAACACAGTGAGAGAGAGAGAGAGAGAGAGAGAGAGAGAGAGAGAGAGAGAGAGAGAGAAACAACGCATACATTTTTTTTTTTTTTTTTTTTTTTTTTACAAGTGAAATTCTTTTTGTGACTTCCCTCCGATAGCTTTCATTTTTCATTATCACATCGTCGATAATTTTTTAAAGTTTTATTTATGAAAGGTTCCGCTTTTATCATCATTATTATTATTATGTTTTCTAATGCGGAGGCGATATGTTTACACAAATTTTTTTTTTATCGTTTATATAAAAAAAAAAAAAATCAACAAACGATACCAAAAAGTTGCATGCAACATTTAACATAAAAAGTGCTAAATTTCAATTTCGAAATCTTCTCGAAAAATTTGAATTTTCCGAAGAAAAAAAAGTTATGATTAACCTTAAAAAAATTTCGTTTCGAATCGGAAAAATCGTTACGTGTCATCTCTTGCAAAATAACTAACGAGAATAAATGACGAAAAAATGTTTTTTTTTAACGTTTTCCGAGTGAGAAATAAATCGGGGAGCGGGGGGAGGGGAAATGTATTTTCTAAAAAAACCAATGTTTCGAGTTGAAAATTCTACAAAAAAAAAAAGTGAAATACACGTGATAAAAAATAATAATAATTGGTTCGAAAATCCCCTGGTACCACAATATCAGAAAAACATGTCGTCTCATTTTGTTTTTTTTTGACTTCATTAACCCGCCTCTCACGTTTTAGAAAATGAAAATGAAAAAAAAAAAAACTAGTTTACCTTTAACAAGAGTGCTGAAGCATTAACTCTCCTCCATTTTATGGACAAAGAGATCTGGAAAGAAAAAAGAAAAAAAAAAAAAATTAAAAATGTGGGTAACATCTAGAGAGAGAGAGAGAGAGAGAGACAGATGACTAGCACGTTAACACAAATTGTTATGTAATTCTTAGCTAGTGAAAGCGAAATAATAAATAATTAGTATGCAGTCATACAAGAAAGCACGTATAATTTGAGTTTAATAACAAAAAAAATAAAAAGATATATAATAATGATAATAATAATAATTTTTTTGTCGGACCATTTCCGCAATGACCTTCCTGTTCAATTTATTTATTTTTTAACAAAAAAAGTTTTAACTTCTGCTGCAAAAACTAACTAAACTAATTTTTTTAAAAAAAACAACAACAGCGGACAAACGATTCGAATCAAATAATAATAATAATAATAATAATAATAATAATAATAAAATAACAATGGTGCAGGTCACGTACCGCAAATAATAATAATAATAATATTCTGACGTCATTTCTCATTAAAAATTGCGTAACGAATAAAGAAAAAAAAAAAAAAAAAGTTTTCACTTTCGTTTAGGCTCTCTGATTGCGTGCGTGATTCGCAAGATTCAGGTTTTTGTTTTAATACATTTTTAAAATTTATATTAATTTATTATTATTATTATTATTTTTTTTTTTTTAAACAAATAAGAATTTTTATTTATCTACTTTCATTGACCTATCGCTAACCTTTCGTATATAACCTTTGACATATTTGTCCTATGAAATTTATTTTAAGATCTGAGTCGAGTGCTAAAAAACGGTTTTAAAAAAAAATCCGTAAATTTTATAAAAAAAAAAAAAAAAATTTTATCTCGCCATGCAAAATATTTAAAAATTTATTCTTTTGTTTTCATTCTCTATGATTTCAAATTTAACGTTTTCGTATAATATAAAACGTCGCGTTTGCTCCTGTGGGGGGAAGGGAGCACATGTTTTTTTATATAGAAAAATTAATTATTAATAATAAATAATAAAATGCATAAGCGAGAGGAGAATGTAAAACATACATCGTCGTTTTTATCTCTATGAAATAAAAAAAAAAAAAAATTATATATACCTGGAGAATTAGGAGGTGGTGTATATACATTAAACCCGGAGGTCACACAATACAACGTTTTTCCCCCTCCAAAACCAGAAAAAAGAAAAAGTCTTTCACGATATCATCAATATCTTCGGAGAGGTCGGAGCTCACACGTGGATCTTAGATAACAGTACTTTTTAAGTGAAAGTATCCAAAAAAAGTGACTAGGCACCTTTATTAAAGAGTTTCCAACAATTCTTTTCATTTTGTTTTCTCGTCTCTCTCTTCTCCCCCTCTCTCTCTTTCTATCTCTCTTTCTCTCACTTTTAAAATGAAATCTGAAATGTAAAAAAAAATTTTATTATTATTATTATTTTTTCGGTAAACATTTTAAAAATTTTTCATAGAAAATTAAAATATTAATTATCGATCGAAAATAAAAATCTATCGATTGAAACATTTATTTATTTATTTATTTCAAGAGGTTTTTATTTCTGCCATATTTGTTTTTTTTTTCAGTAGCTTTATCTCGATTTGAACATGTGATAATTTTTATAATTTATACAAAAAAAAAATATTATTTTATTTAATTCAGTACACGCGGTTGATGGATACTGCAAAAATATATTGTAGAATTATTTGTGGCAGTAGTGAAATTAACCTTCGGGGTGAGTAAAAAGTATAAATAATAATAATAATAATTGCAGGGTTAAAACCCCTCCCCCCCAAAAAAAAAACGCATTTCTTTAATTTTTTTTTTTAAATTGATAATAATAATGATATTTTTTTTCCGGATTGTATTTGCACGCAATCGTTTCAAATTTCCCGGTTGTTTCATCTTTAAGATTTTAAATATTACAATTTTTTCCTTATTAACGAATTAAAATTTTCCGTTATTTTTTTTTTTTTTACAACATCATCGCGAGTTATTTTTTCGCTACTCTCGCAATAGTTTTTTTTTTTTTTTCAATTAGATTTAAATAAATTTTCATTTTTTTTTTAAACCGACCTTGGCTGTATGTCAACCTTGAGAAATCGTATCATCCACACGGATGTCATACGTCATAAAATTAGGCTTTGATATAATCGAGAAAATTCGAATCAGAAAGTAACGTCGTCGTTCCTGAAACAAAATAAAAATCAATGATAAATAATAATAATAATAATAATAATAACAATAAATATTTTTTTTCTCATTTAAGCGTGACGTAAAATCAACGTTGACGCAAAAACAAATCACGCATTTTTTTCTTATTTTTTGTTTTTTGTTGTTGTTGTCAAATTTTGATTTGTTAATAACAAATCCGTAATTTTATATTAAAACTAAAATGGTAACAATTTATAATTTTAATTGAGAATAATTTAAAACGAAGTCGTTTGATTATACATCCTTATTCCATACCCTCTATCCCATTATTTACACAAACATAAATATTATCATTATTATTATTATTATCATTTAAATGTGACTGAAAATGCAATTTAATTAGATAAATTATATATATAAATAAATTATTTTAATCTTAATAAGTTGTAATAAATATCACGATTTTACGTTATTTATTAAAAATTATTATTATTCTTATATAAAAACATTTAAATGTGATAGTTTTGTTTAAAAACATTGTTAAACACATAAACCGGTTTTAAAATGTTTTTATGTGAGGAGGGAAAAAGGGGGAGGGGGGAGGGAAAGAGGGGGGAGTAAACTAAAAATTTACTTACATCGAAATTAGTCGATCGATAATTACTACTCGATAAGAAATTTGTTTAATTATTAATTTAAACAAATTAAAACGAGACAATCCAAGTGCATACGTTTGTTTACCAACAAAAAAAAAATTAAATTTTAATTTTTTAAACAAACGATAGTGAAAACTTACAAATCTATTTTTGTACAAAAAAAAAAAAAAAAAAAAAAAAAAAAACAAAACACTCGAATATGAAATCGATAAAATGATAAATTAAACAAAATGAATTTTTTTTTTTTAAATAAAAAAATCTTTTTTAAAAATCTTTCTACGACGACATTGGATAATAAACAATTTTTAAAAGAAAAATTAAATTGATGGAATTGTGATTGTCAATATGGCACATACAATCGACATATTATGTATGAAATGTAAATAATAAAATTTAAAAATTTTACATATTTTTTTTTGTTTGAACTAAACGCCCCCCGCCTCCGCCCCCCGTTCCAGCCCCCGCTCCCGCCTCATTAAAATTACGAATAAAAAATTTAAATTACCAATTGAGTCGGTCGGCTGCTTTTTTTTTTCTTTTTTCTCTTCTGGAAAATTTTGCTGATATTTTTTGTTTTTAATTAATATAGCCATATAGCAATGATAGATAATATTGATACAATCGTTGAAAAATCCTTGGCCTTGCTGTACCAAAACAAATTTATTCGAGCAAAACTAATCTCGGAGGTCACGATCGTTAAAATGAGGCCAAATATCTAACGATTATGTATGACTCATGTCGCTAAAAACCTGAAAAAAGCCAGAAAAAAAAATGAGAAGACATTACATATTGCGAAGGTGGAAATAGATACCTGTAGGATATAATAAAATATATATCAATATTAATTTTTTATTTTCTTTTTTAAAAAAAAAATAAAAATAAAATATTCTGCTTGCCAAAAAAAAAAAAAAAAAAACAATTATTATAGTTTTTTTTTTTTTGAATGATATCAACAAAGTTCCTGAAGTCCTTGAAAACAATAATTGGCTTATAGCCACCTGTGAGAATAATTTATTTTATTTTGATATTATTACTAAACAAACAGTTATTTATGCTGTTTCACGTTTTGTAGTTTGCTAAAAACTCACGTGTCTCTCTCTCTTTCTCTCTCTCTCTCTCTCTGAAAAAAAAAATTGTGTCAACGATAAAACTGACAAAGGAAAAAATTTAAATTTAAATTATTAAAATAGTTTGTTTTGTTTAAACGAAATCAAACGTGAGATTTATTTTCTGCAGGAAAATCCACAAAGGAACTCGGAGGTGAAGAAAAAAAAGACGATGGAGAACTTTGGTGTAACATTGAAGCTCAAGCCGCTTTTCTCGGACCAAATCTTTGGGACAAAACATTACCATACGATACAGATTTCAAAGAAGTAAGTAAATGTTGTTGTTTTCTCTGTCGGAAAAAAATAATAAAAAAACTAAAAAATGTTTTATTGAAAAACAGCATTCCCTTCAGTACGTTGATCTCGACGAGTTCCTGTCGGAAAATGGCATCACGACTGGCGAAGGCATGCCAGCCAATGGCGGTCCTCGACTTCCACCTCAAGGACCGGAAATCATGGGTCACGATCCTCCGATGCAACTGACGCTCACCAAGAGAGAAAGATCCCCGTCTCCTTCTCCCTGCGAACCACTCAGTCCTGCCACCCTTAATCCTTGTTCACCGGCAGATTCGAGTAAGTTCATTATTAAAATTAATAAAACTCAGTGTTGCCAGTCACTGTCTAAAAACATTTTCTTTTTTTTTTTTTAAAACTGGAACGTAAAGATAAATAATAATTTCAGCAATGTCTATGGCATCTTCAGGTCGCGAATTTGATCCAAGGACGAGAACATTTTCCGATGAAGAACTCAAACCGCAGCCAATGGTCAAAAAGTCAAGGAAGCAGGTGAGCAATAAGGTCAATAGAATCGTCGTTACTGTTTTTTTTTTTAGTATAAAAAACAAACCTCCTGACACAATGTTTTTCTTTTTCAATACAATTATATTTTAATTTGACGTTAATAAAAGAAGAAAACAAATTTACAGAGTTAGCCGATGAACTGGGAGACTCGTGTCGACTCCATCTTGGTGAGCTAAATCCTTACTTTCAGCAACTTCGCTAAAAACTTAATTGGAAGGACGACAAATTTGTGATTATTATTTTTCTTTTAGGATAAAAAGAAGCTGTTTTGTTAAAAAAAAAAAAAAAAATTACATGTTAAAATAATGATAATAATTTTATGCACAGTAGTTTTTCTCCCTACATTTAAAACAATTAAATAAAAATTTTTTAAGTTTTATTAGAAAAAAAAAAAAAAGAAAATTTTAACTAATGGTTAATAATTATTTAATGATTACACGGAGCACATTAAAGCATTTGTATTTATTTTTATTTAACAGTTCGTGCCGGATGATTTAAAGGATGAAAAATATTGGGCAAGACGCAGAAAAAATAATATGGCAGCAAAAAGATCCAGAGATGCAAGAAGAATGAAAGAAAATCAAATTGCTTTAAGAGCAGGATTCCTCGAAAAAGAAGTAACAAAAAAAAAAACGTATTATTTACGTTAAAGTTTTGATTCAATTTTAAAATCATTAATTTATACACTTTTTTCATTTTTAGAATATGGGTCTCAGACAAGAACTAGATAGACTTAAAAAGGAAAATCTTTTGCTGAGAGATAAATTATCAAAATACGGTGGAGGAGAAGTGTAATCACAAATAAATAAAATACATTTATACAAGCGAAAAAAAAAAAAAAGAAACAAAAAAAATCATACCGAATATTAATAATAATAATGTTGTATAAATGATATTTTCTCATTCCCGTGTGAGCCCGCCTGGAGCTGTCCCTCAATTATCTGACAGTATTGGGGAAATATGTTATGTCTTCATTGACGGAAGTCAGCATCATCGAAATACTTTTGATGTTGCTTTAAATGCGTCGAAGCTCTTAGGGCCAAAAACAAAAAAATATTTTCACGTTTTTTTTAAAATAATCATCATCATCATCATCATCATCATCATCATCATCATCATCATCATACTTCATCTACTTTTTCATATTTTACTTATATTGTCGGTGGTGTAAATATTTTCTTTTTTTTTTATTTAATTGTATATCGAAACAAAACCTGGAAGAAAGAAAAAAAGAGAAAAAAAAATTAAACAAAAAAAAGAAAATAATGATAATAATAAAAATTTAGTATTAGAGATTATAAGTTTAAACGTATTGAGCACATACAAATAAACGATACGAAAGAGACAAAAAAAAAAAAAAAGTTATGAAAATGTTATGAAATAATTTTTGTTTGTGTCCGAATTGATTGCTTGCGTATTTTTTAAACCAATAAAAAACAAAATTACATATTTTAACTCTCATCCAAATCATTATTATTATTATTATATGTAATAAATTAAAAAAAAATAATTACTCTAATATGTATAAAAAATCTGCTACTATAGAAATTACATCACAAAAATTTTCGTATATTTAAATTTGTAGTTTTAAAAACGTAAGTACATCATCATCATCATCATCATCATCATCTTCTCGAAGAACGATCTCTTTATAATTCTAATATTGGTTTCTTTTGTTGTCCATCCATCACTATAAATGTCGACCTCCTATAAAAAAAAAATTATTAAATATTTCTTTTTTCAACAAGAAAGGTTTATAATATATATATTTATACATGAATAAGAGTTACCCAGTGTTTTTGTAAGTGATGAAGAGAAAAAAAAAAAAATGTAAATTAAATTTTACATTCATAATTATTTTATGTCATTAAATTTAATTAATATGTTCATCATATGTATTTGTAAAAAAAAAAAAAACAATTCAAATGTTTATTATTATGGACAATATTAAAATTAATAATTTTTTATTACTGTCATAAAAAATAAATTGTTTAAGTTACCATATATATGTAAAAAATTTTTTTTTTTTTTTTTTTTTTTTACACACATCACATTCCCCTAATTATACAATTTATTAATATTATTATTATTATTATTATTTCTTTTAAATCATTGTGAGGATGAAATTATGTCAAAAATTTACAATATTTGTGTCACTACACAAATCAATCAATTATTAATTAATTAATACTTTCTCGGTTACATAAGTTCTTATGGAATAAGATATCAGTTATAACATTAATAAAATGTTTAATAAATAACCTTAATATATTTCTTTTTACCTCACAGTAATCATCAAAATTATTATTATTATTCTCATTTTTTTTTTTTAATATATTGTATATTGTATATTTTTGTTTCATTTGAATTTTTTTTTTTTTTTTTAAACTTTTTAACTGTCAATAATTTTATTTTTGTAAAACTACAAAACTGTTTTTTTGTTTTAATACAACAAATATATATATATATAAAAAGTTAATAATTATTAATATTTTAATAGTAATATGAAATTACTTTTACACTACTTTGATCTATCAATCATTTTATTTATTTGATTATAATTATTGTCAGTAATAAATTACTTTAGTATTAAATGTAATATGATTTCATACCACGAAATAATGATGATAGATTCCTGTTGCAAAATTATGTAGCAACAGAATAAGACATGTTCTGATATAGGTAATTCATTTTACTCTAATTCGATTTGTTAATTATGCAATTAAAAATGTAGAAATACAATTACGAACACAAAAATAAATGAAAAAATGAATTCTCATGATAAAACCTTATGTTAGCAGTAATTCATGACTGTACTTACATTAGCTGTGGGTCTGATATCTGACTAAGGATACTCTGCTAAATATTTATATTAGAAAAACGTTTAGTCATCATTTTGAAAATTATCAAGGAAAGGAATCGTTTACACTTACTTATGTTCCTTAAATGAATTCCTAAGGATGGAAAATGAATCAATGATCAAGTTTCAACGCGTTGCCCAAAATGTATAATGGCGGTCTCGAATGCTACCTAGACAAAAAATTATATTTAAACGATTTTAAATGCGAAAGGTAAGTAAAAAAACTAAATATTTCGAATATTTTTCCCTTAAGTTAATCGTTTTTACTCACTTTAATTCATTTGTAATAAAATAACTCACTAAAATTACTCGCTAAAGAACACTCAGCACATAGAACACTTTTCCATTTGTTCGGTAAGAGAAATTTTTGAAAAATCACGTGATTTTATTCGATTGTGACGTAATACGTCAAATTACGTCAAATTTTAACGGTTAATATTAGTATTATTTCGTTAATAATGGATTTTTATCTTTTGTTAAAAGAAAAACAAATGTTAAAATATTAAAAATTAATTATCGAACCCGTTTCGAGTGTTTTTTTATTAAAATACAAACGTTTTTTCTTTTATAAGAAAAAAATATTTTGCGCGGGCAAACAAATAACGCTTAACTTACCTCGAGCCTTTTTTACGTTTAAGCATACGTCACAAATTTTTAAATTGAGATTTTTTAATAATAAATTGGTAACTATGCGATCAATTCTCTCGGAAAAATTATTAATAGAATTTTTATGATTAAGATAAGTATTTGCAACGACAAAAACAACAATACTGACAGAAAAAAAGATAAAAATTTTACCTCTTTTAATAAGTATTCAATTTCGCCTATGTTTAGCTTATCTTAAACTAAGTCATATAATAATGCCTGATATTATTGCTAAAAGTACGTGGCTTTAGAAATATTTAACCGCTTTTTTTTTTTTTATATTAGGATTTTACATAAAATGAATATCATTCAAATTTGATATTCATTTCAAAAAGGAAAAAAAAATAAAAAACTCTCAATTAATTATTTTCTTATAATTAAAATTTATTAATCAAATAAATATTATTTACATAAACATGATGAGGTAATGAAAAATTTTTGAATAATAATAATAAAAGTAGTAGTAATAGAACAATACGCGACTAGTAATCGGATTTCTTTGGTTATGTAATTACAATAATAATAATAATAATGATAAATAAAATTGAAAAAAAAAATTTATTTATCGAGATGTATTAATTAATTAATTATTTAAATAAATATTATTGTAATTTTATAAATTTTTCATTTTATTTTTTATTTTTTTTTTGTTAAATTTTTACTATCACATTCTAACTTGTGCTAAAATTCGTTTTTTAGTTTTTTTTTTTTTTTGTACAAAATAAATAATAATTTAATTGTTTAAAAAAAAAAAAACATGTTTTTGTTATAAATAAAAAAAAAAAAAAATAAATTAAATTTTTTTGTTTTTTATTTTTTGCGACAGGAGGTTTTAACGTTCTTTTTGTCGAAAGATTACAAAAGATGGTGATGAAAAACGATGAATTTTCCTATGAATTCTGATATGAAAAAAATGCGTTGGGTTCTCCTTTCTTATTAAAATGATATTCGTGAGTTTTATTTTGTATTTGACTTAACGTTTTATCAATCGCTTTGAGCCTTTTTTCTAAATTTGTCGTCCCCAGTATGCTCACCTGTCGAGAGAAAGAGAGAGAAAACGTCACGCACGGTTGTTTTTCAGTAAAAAAAAAAAAAAAAAAAAAAAAGTACAACGAAATATACCTGAAGGAGGGGACCGAGAGGTAGGATGGCCAATAACCACCACGTCCAAGACGGTCCATCCGGTAACCATCTCCAATTTTCTTCAACTTCCGGTATAGTACCGAAAGAAGTAAAAACTTTTTCTTTGAATTCTTCGCTTAGTGTTTTCACCCACGAAATGGCTTTTTCTCGTACCTTGTCGTGAAATTGTTTGATTGTCGGAAGGCAGGAATCCGTTATAGGTTCATCTATTAATAATTTAACTTTTGCTAATTCGTAACCGTCACGTTCGTCTCTCGACAACGTTCTAAAACGACGAACGCCGACCGTTGATAATATAGAACAACCGTTTGACATTAATACCCAGTCTTTGATCTCTAATATTGTACCAAAATCCGCAAATCTAAAAAATAATAATAATAATAATAATAATACATTTCTGAAAATTTTCACAGTCGTGTCACGCGACGGATTCTGGATTTCAAAATCGTACCTTCTACTTCCGTTTTCCGATGTGAAACAAGCAGCTATACCGAATCTTCTTGTTCCCGCTTCCACGCACTGTCTTATCATGAGCCTGTAACGGGGTTCGTATATGAAAAGAGGACAGTGAATCGTCGGGTAAGCAGTCGTGCAAACAAAAACCGGAATGTAAGATTCTTTGTCGTGGCAGGAAACCATCATTTTCGATATTTCCGATTGATGAGTTATCTGTCTCGTTAAATACTCCGAAGGTAGATACATTTTAAGAAATTTACTTAAAAACTCCGACACGGATTTCGACGATACCGACACGTGCTGGAAACAAACAAACAAACAAAACGAAAAATTAATTTGATGACATTTAAACCCCCCAAACCTCCCCAACAAAAAAAATCAAAAAACTCACATCCGATAAATTTTTCATGCACAGCGGACATGCCGTACTATAATCGAGAGATCGTTCGAGACAAGATAAACAATACGTGTGACCGCAGGATGTCGTTATGGGTTTCCATAATGTTCGACAACATAAAACGCAATCGAAATCCGATTTATCGATAAGAGAAGGTTCCAAACTGAGATCAATCGATTTTACCACGTTCGTACCTGAAACACCAGAAAAAAAATTATTAAAAAAAAAAAATCGAACGATATATCGATAAATCGATATCAAACTCACGTTTTATTTTATCTATTTCGTTAAACACGTGATTTATCAAATCGTGAAAATTTTTTTTTATTAATAATGAAAGACAATCGGGAAATTCGTAGACATCTTCGTCGCTGCTACCACTAGAATGATCTTCGCAATCGCTGCTGCTGCTGCTGCTGCCGCTGTTTATCACCATCGGACTGTGATGATAATAATAATAATATCTTCCACGTCTGTAATTTATTTGATGGTGATGGTGATTGGTCGTAGCAAAAGATCGATTTAAATGCCTCGAAGAAAAATTGTTATGGTTGTTATGGTTGTTGTTGATGTTGTTGTAGCTGTTACTACCACATAAAAGACCGTGAAGAATCTAAAAATAACAAAAAAATTTTGAATTTTTAATCACGTGACTGACTCCACGCGTATAAACAATATAAATTTATAATATGTTAAATAATTGTTGCATATCGGATTCGAGTGTGACGTCATCATTTTTAACATATTAACAATTATGTAAAGAGACGACAAAGAAAACCACAGAAGTGCAACGAAATACATTTTTTCTTTTTTTTTTTTTTTTTTTTGTGTATAAAATCAAAAGTTACAAAACAACTTTATTATTTAATATCGTTACGATTACAATTTTATTAATAATAATGATAATAATAATGATAATAAAATTTCGGTCGTAAATTATAATTTAAAAAAAAAAGAAAAATATATATTAAAGAAAAAGAGATCAACCATCATCAAAACTTTAATTTTATAAAAAAACTCGCCATTCGTAATTGCGTAACTTTTTCTCTCTCTCTCTCTTTATCTACCTCTCTCCCTTTTATCATTACCTGTGATTTTTTCTCATTCTCCAGACCTCTTCTATTTTTTCAACTTTTAAACGAACCTCCTGCACCCGAAACAAAACAAAAAAAAAATTTTTTTCTTTTCAACGCGACGATTTTTCCTACCTACCTTCCTACCTACGTCATCGTCATCATCATCATCATCATTATTATTATTATTACCATCAGTCTAAAATTTATCTAATTATGTCGATTCTCGTTTATGACTATAACATAACGTGTGAACGTTACGTAAACGTTTACAATTCGACAGAAATCAAAAAAAAAAAAAAAAAATTATGTAACTCCATTTTTTGTCTTTTAATGTGATTTATTTTCTTTCTTTTTTTTTTGTTTGTTAACTTGATCGTCCCCCTCCACCACCCCACCCCTTTCCTTCTTTTTTTTTTTATAAACAATTAAATCATTATTTTTATTGCCAACTTTACGAAAAAAAAAAAAATACGTTTACGACTTTTTTTTTAAACAAATAATAATAAAAACATTTCAAAACTCAACCGTAAACGATAATAATAATAAAAAAAAAATTAATAGTAATAATAATAATAATGATGATGATAATGATAATAATGTTCCTTCCGGGTGTTCTTTAATATTTATATAAGTCATATTATGTATTAACGTCGCGTTACGAATACAAAAAAAAAAAAAAAAAAAAAGTTTACGCAAGTGAATCAAATGGTGGATTTTACAAAAAAAAAAAAAAAAAAAAAAGTTTACGCAAGTGAATCAAATGGTCGATTTTACAGAACAAAAATGGTGGAAAATTGTTTGGATCCCCAGAAATGGCTTACTTGGGTGACAAAAGAGAAGAAAAAAAATGAAAAAATTACCTTGCATATATCGTGACGAACCACCTGAGGATTTTTTTCAAGTGCGACAAAAATACATAAAGATGTTAAAGCTTCTTCTAACATACCCATGGCCAGCATGGCGACTCCTTTTCTGTGATATCCCTGTAAAAAAAAAAAAATTTTACGTGAGATTAATCGTAAAGAAATTATCATCATCATCATCATCATCATCATCATCATCATCATTATCATTTTACTTTTAAGAAAAATTTTTTTTACGAGATCGATGACCCGAAGAGCAAAAAGATAAAAAAAAAAAAGGTAAAAGTTACGACCTTGAACTAGACATTGAATGACTGGTCGAATAATAATAATAATAATCGAATGGCATCACATTTCCGGAAATCGGAAACGAATTTGAATTTTAAAAAAATTACGCGGGAAAAATACGGATGAAAGAGAATGAAAAATAATATATCAAAACGATTTCTCAGGATTTGTTAAGGTTTTTCGATCAAATCGATAATTATCGATCCATCGATCGATCGATTATAAATTGAAGCACTTTAAGAAAAAATACATTTAAAAAACAACAACAGGAAGAGGAGGAGGAAGAAGAGGAAAAGGAGGAGGAAGAGGAAGAAGAAGAGGAAGAGAAGGAGGAAGAAAAGGAGGAAAAAAGGAGGAAGAGGAGGAGAAAGAGGAGGAAGAAGAGGAAAAAGAGGAGGAGGAAAAGGAGGAAAAAGAGGAGGAGGAAGAGGAGGAAAAAGAGGAAAAGAAGGATGAGGAGGAGGAGGAACTGCTGAATCTTATTTTATTTCTTACCTTTCCCCAATGCGGTCGAATTCGTATGACGTGTTCAGCATCCGCAAGTGACGCCTGATACCTTCCCATTCTATAAAAGGCATGAGACCTGGCACATAGTGTCAAATGATCGGAAGGAACTGAAACAAACGGGAAGAAAAAAATAATAATAATAATGATAACAAAACAACTTCTTCTTTCTATGATCAGGAATTGACACTTTCTAAACATTTCTCATATTCGCCTTTTTTTACGCGGAAACGCGTTTTATTATTTTTCGTTTTACCATTTCCGGAAAACTCGCATACCTGAAACGTCATTTTTTTCTTATCTTACTCTCGCGCGTAAGTTTACAATAATTGTTTTTATTTCTTTAAAATTTACTGTCATTGAAATTATATAATTTAACCGACCGACCGACCGTCCGATCGAGTCGACATGTTCGTCAATGTGTTTGCTATTCACGTGGCGGCCTGAAAAAAAAAAAAAAAAAAAAACGATTGACCCCCACAATGTTATTCTCCCGGGTTTAGTTACGCTTTGATATCACTTTACGTAACCATTCATCCGTTTTTTTTATTGGATCCCAAAAAAAAAAAAAAAAAATGGAAGAAAGAATTTAATAATTGGTTTTTTGGATGTTTTCAACAAATCGTTTTTGTTCATTCAACCGTATATACAACAATTCCAAAAGAATCGTGCGTCAAAGACATGAATGACGTAAAAGAAGAAGAATAAATTTCGTTATTAAAATTTGCGGAAAATATGCGTACGCCAAATCATATTTTTATGAATGAATGAATGAATGAATGAATGAAATAAAATCGACAAAATGTCATTTTCTTTCAATTTCGTACCAGCAGAAAGGCAAACGAAAAAAAAATCAAAAACATTTAACGTTACGTAATAAAAAAAAAATTAAGGATCAAGGTTATAAGAAGAGAGAGAGATACCTGACGTTCGTGAAAAAAAAAAAAAAAAAAAAAAACGGATAGGTATTTTTTCCAGTACTCATGGAAACCCACATGGAAGATAAAGAAAGATAAAGCGTTGGAAAAAAATTTTTTAAGAAGCGGAAACGGATTGGTTTTTTTTTATCTAACGAAAACCTCAACTTAAAATAAAGAACGAACTTTGTTATGAGAATTTTAAAAACTAATGATCGTGGCGGAAGAATGTTCCGCGGGCCAATGTCCACACAAAGCCCGTTTTTTTTTTTTTTTCATTAGTTTATTCAACTTTGACCAAGCATTTCAAAAAAAAAAAAAAAAAAAAAAATATTAAATATTTCTTCGTCGTCTTCGTCGGTCTTTGTCTTTTTTTTGTCCGACTAAAACATAAAAAAAATGATAAGTGTTATCAACATGCGTCTGAGTGAGTCACAAAATGAACTTTTCACCTTGTAGTGTAGGCGCGCGCGAAACAAACAACTCGAAAAAAAAAAACAAAGAAAACGAGATTTTGCCGTTCTCATAACCCTGAACGTAAACACGTAGGTACGTCCGCCATTGCTCTTCTTGTATTAGTAGTAGTAGTAGTAGTAGGCGGTGGCGGATTACGTAACATGGTTTCGATGTCCTCGGACGTGGCTTTAAAATTGTTGTGAGCTCATGGCAATTATGGTTGTTATTTTTTTTTTCTCATGTTACTTTTTTTCATAATTAATTCGAGGTTATCTCTCTCTCTCTCTCTCTCTCTTTCTCTCTTTATTTCTTTGTCATTTGTTTAAATTTAAAGGTATGCTAATTTATTACAACAGAAAAAATCGTTTCGTACGCTTTACCGCCATTTTTTTTTTTAAAAATCCTCGATTTATTTCATCACCGATAAAAACTTGAGTAATAATAATAAAAAAAAGGAAAATTTTTTTTTCAATGCAATTCTATGACACAACATTTCTATTTTTCTCTCTCTCTCTCTCTCCAAATTTTCGTAATTTCCTTCGTCTGTTTTGTTGTTGTTGTTGTTGCTTGTTTCGGTTGTTGTTTCCATCGAGTAAAAACTTGACCCGAGCTTTTCTACTTCCCCAAAATCTTCTACTACTTCCTTCCCTTCGCCGGAAATTTGCAAAAATAAACGTTTTTCTTTTGAAAAAACCAAGCGCTCCCTTTTTATTATCATCATTATTATTTATTCTGTCGTAACTTTTGTCAGTTACATAAAAACAAAAGTCTAATTATAGTCTTATGCTCAAAGATGTAACAGACGTAGCTTTTAACAGTTGAATTACTTAATCGTAGCGCGGCCATGTAATACTTTGCATCATCGTTACGTTAGTAAACCAAAGTCTTTCCCTCCGTGTATTGCCGCCGCCGCCGCCGCCACCGCCACCGCCACCGCCACCATTTTTTTATCTCTTATCGTATGTAACGACGTTTTGTGTAACTTATCGCGTAAGTTACACTCATCCGATGTTAAAAATGTATTTACGTTGCGTTTAATGTTGTTTTATCACTATCACTCCCACTCCCCCCACTCCCCACCCATTAAAATCGTGTTTTGATTACATTATTATTAATATTATAATTAATATTAATAATAATAATATCAATAATAATGGGTTAAAATAATTTAATTGACGCACGGAATGAAACGTGTATAGAGCAAACAAAAATCGATTCTTGCTTTAGTTTAGCTTATATGAGAGAGAGAGAGAGAGAGAGAATATGCCTGTTTTGTAATAATATTTTTTGTATAATTATTACATAACGATCGTTTTTATTATCTCACGTCATTTCGAACATCAAACACGCGGTGTTTATGCTTGGTCGGCCTCCCTCCCTCCCTCCCCCATAATTCCCGTCCTTCTAACAAACAACAAAACATCAAAATATCGACTTACCAATGCCAAGCGCTTCGTTGTATTTAGACACGGCATCATCGAATTCGTTTCTTTGGAGATGATCGTTTCCTTCGTCGCGGATTTCCGCTCCAATTATTTCCTTAGACCAAAATTTTTCGACGAGTTGTTTAACTAAAACGTTCGTTTCGAAAGGACTATTGATTTTTTGACAACACTTTCTACATGTTCTCGACGATGAGTCTTTTATCAAACACCTTCGGCAAAACGTGTGACCGCAAGAAAGGGTTACGGGATGACGTAAAACGCTTTCGCAAATCCCGCAAACGAAATACGACGACGACGACGCATTAGTTCCGGTGACGCCGAAATTTTTCCCCGGAAAATGATTGAAAGTCGCCATGATGGATTCTATTAAACCGTACGTCACGTGTTTTAATTTTTCCGATGATATTTCTCCGACCGTATTGAAACTATCGTACAAATCGAGCGTTTCTAAAACTTTTCCACATTTCGATAGAGTATCCCCGTAATTGGCGTAAACGTTTTTTCCTTTTAAAAATGTTTTTTCGTAATAATCTCCGACGCGAATGTAATTATTTCGATGCATGAAACTATCTTTTGTCATATCCGAAACGAGACTCATGATTGATGCTTCTGTACCTGAAAAAAAAAAAAAAAAAAAAAAAACAATAAATATCATTATTACCACGCTACAGTAACAACAACAACAACAACAACAACCAAAATAATTTTTCGAATGAATCAGGATAACAGGTTAACATAATTACACAAACTTGAAACAAAAAATTAAATTTATGATGTCGAAAGAGTTATAATTTCATTTAAATGATTATTTTCCTACAATTTTCAAATTACGCCACACATTATTTTAAAAAATGTTCTAATCGTAACATTACCGCTCATTTATTTAAAAAAAAAAAAAATCTTACGCACACGAATTTCACGGAAATGCATACTTTCTCTCTCTCTTTCTCTCTTTTTTAAGTAAAAATATAAATCCTCACTGGAAATTCGCAAAAGTCCATAGAATCACAATTCGCGAAACGTTTTATAATACCCTAATACATTTACAAAAAATTCGATCGCAAATATAAAAATTAATTATTTATTATTATGTAATTAAAATCGGGGTAAAAATTAAATCCGCCGGTTTTTAATGTCTTAATGACAAACGACTTGACCCTCGTAATACATTTCTTACGGGCGTGGTGAGAGAAAGAGAGAGAGAGAGAGAGAAAGAGAGAGACTCTCGCATGTTGTGACCCGGGGGGCTATAATGCATCCATTACACTATTTTAATCCTATTAAACCACCTTTGGACTCCTTTTTTTTTTAAATAGTAGAGGAGGTTAACATTAAATATTTAAAAAATGTTACGCTACGTAAAATTTTATTCACCCTCCCCCCACAAAAAAAACTAAACAAAGATGGCTAATTATAATAAAATACGGTTCCATCAACCTCTACATGACATACTAAACGTACACTTTGCAAAAAAAAAAAAAAAAAATTTATCGAATCTTTCGAGCTCGACTGACGGATTATATTATTCTTATCGATAAGTAATTACGTTACCGATAATAGAATGATTTCGATATTCGATTATCTCGAACTCGAAACGATTTTCGACTACCGATTTTTTTTCATAAGGTCATCACGTATCCGAGAAAATATTTTCGCGTTGTAATAATGTAAAGTGACGGTTAATTTTCGACTTGGGAAAAAAATGGTGATTGATTGATTGATTGATTGTTCGCGATTTGCCGTTCCCATAACACCGCCTGACCAGAGTTCAATTAAGACTAAACTGACCTTAGACTAAAAACTTATTACATAACATCAAGGAGGTGAGTTGCTTAGGGGCTCGATATTAGCTAGTCCTCCTCGTTATTATTAGCGTAGGCGTATGATTCGACCTTTTTTTCTTTTCTAATTAATAAACGATATTAATTATTAAGCGAGAGTTTTAAATAATAAAAATAAATAAATAAATAAAAACTAACTAATTTCTCACGTACTTCGAACTTAACATTCACAATTTAACAAATGGAATGAATGACAAACAAACATTACATTCTCAAACAAACATTATTAAAGTTTACGTATATAAGATGCCAATTCAAAAAAAACATGATATAATTATTATTATTATTATATTTTTTTAAGAATTATAACGTCAGTAGATTAAAACTTATGTAACTTTTTAAAATCATCGTTTATACAAAATTTCTTTTGCCACGTTTATCGTTTTTTATTTCAGTCTCGATTTTTAAAATTAAAATTTCCCGCCAAAATAAATAATACGCGTATGGGTAACAAACAATCGACAAACAAACAAAATTTAAAATTTCCTACAACCGGAGAATAACTATTCAATCATTCATATGACTCACGCGATATGAGAATATCACACAGGTGATTGTCTTTAACAAACAGACAAACAAACAAACAAACGTTTTGAAACACGTACTTGCCGTTCGGAATATGTATATCCGGTTCGGTTATAAATACATCCGTTCGTCACATAATCACTTTTTTTTTTTTTTTTTAAACCACAATTTCCTCCCAACTAACCTTCTTACCCGGCTGCACTCGCGCGCTCAAAACAAAAACAAATCCGACACAATTATTATTAACTTATTTAATAAAAAAGAGTGAGAAAGAAAGAGTGTGGGTGAGAGAGAGAGAAATAATAATAATAATAATAATAAAATTAAAAACTTTCGTCCTCCGACGAGGAGATTCCGAATCCGACTGAAGTTGATCGTCGGGTCGGTTTGGCTTTGGGTGTTCGAAGCGAAGCAAATTGTTATGTTGGCGCGTTACATAAGGTCACGTTACTACAAACTCGTGTTAAATCAACAAAATTCAATTTGATAAAAATGCGCAGGCGCTTGTTTATTATTTAGTTTGACACATTCTATATATATATATATATATATATTTAATATTATTATTAAATAACATCCGGCCATTTTTATTTTTTTCGTTTATAAATTTTGCGAAAATAATAAAATTTTTTTTTTTTTTTTTTTGTGGGTTAATTATTTGAAGAGATTTTAAAAATATGGATTAAGCAATCGGTGACTGACTGACTGACTGATTATTATTACGAGCCAAAAATTTACGAAATGATTTAATGGGGTACCATATACTCATAGATACTCATCGAGCAAACCGTATACGCATATTCGTCGCGTGCGTGTTGACGTCATCGATTAAAATTCGATAAATAAATAAATATAAAAATTTTTATCTGTACCTGTAAATTATTTACGTGGAAATCGTGTCAACAATATGGCGATCGATATTTCATTCGAAGGTTAATAATCAAAGATTTTAAGGTTATTGATAAGCTGTAGGTATCGGTATCATCTTCTTAATCCAACTTCCCTAAAATTTTTATTCGGTTTTTAATTATTCGTATGAAAATTTACAATTGAATAAAAACAACAACAACAACAACCGAAAATGTGTTTGTTTTAAAAACCGTGCCTAAATGTAATGCAATAATATATACTTATGTAATTGTTAAAAAAAAATTATAAAACTCAGCCTACTTACATTACGTGCTTAAGCTCGATACTTCGAAGGTTTATTGAATTTCGAAACGTTTTTTTTTGTTTTTTGTTTTGTTTTTAATTACACCATGTTTCTTTTGTTTTGCATCGGCCATCATCATCATCATCATCATCATCATCACCTCAGCCTTCTTACAATAAATCAAATACGTTTTGACGACGAACAAACAAATTGCAATGTTAATTGATCGATTGATCGATCGATCGATGAAAGAATTGATTTATCGATTAAATCTTCTTCTTCTTCTCTTCGGCGGCACAAGCTAAAAATAAACAATCGATTATTAACAATAATGATTGATTATTATTATTATTATTAAGATTTTTCTTCTCCTGACCTTTCGACCTTTTAATTACAACAACGATCGTGTTAATATAATTAATAATAATTATTGTAAAAAAATTTTATTATTTCCCGCGTTTCTAATTAACGCCCGATTTAAATTTTCGATTTATCGACTTATCGATACGATATATCGAAAAAATCGATTAAATATATCGTTTAAGGAAATGTTAATCCCATGGATGTTCACAATAAACGTTAATAGGTAAATAAATAAATAAATAAATAAATTATGTGAACGTTTGTTTGTTTGTTTGTTTGTCATTTTAAATGATGCTATTAAAAAAAAAAAAAATTTGTGCGCACTTTGAAATATCTTACATAATTATTATTATTATTATTATTATTAAATTAATCGTGAGTTTGAATATAATTATTTATTTTGTATCGAGTGTATTAAGTAAAAAAATTTTTTTCAATATTAAATAATAATAATAATAATAGTAATAGAAGTAGTAGTTATGGTACAAATTTAAATACAAATTACGCAATATAATTATTATTATTATTATTTAACATCGTAATAATTATTAATAATATTTGACGGATCGATTGCGTTTTCGATAAAGAGTGTGTGTGGGATGTTTTCGACAACAAGTTTTTGGTGAAAACTAGATTAGTAAAAATAAATTTATTGATTTATTTATATAATTTATGTCGATCGAAATCACGGAGAGACATTTAAGTAAAATAATAATCCGCCATATTGGAAAATTCATTCGAAAAAAAAATAATAATAATAATTTTAGAGTATTTTTCGGTGTTTGTAAATTTTTTTCCCTCCCTGCTCGTTCTGCTATTGTTCGTCAACGACGTATTGCAAATCATTATTATTATTTAATTTTTGTTACAATGATCCACCTACTCCATATTACAAAATAAATTTACCTACTTCAATCCTTGTAAAAATTATTATTATTATTATTTTCGAATTGAAAGTGCGTGCGTGTGCGTATATAAGTGTATTAGTTAATAAAACGTAAAAGTTATGTAAAATGAGCAATCGTGAGCTATAACTCTAACTCTAATGTCAAAACCTCGTTGCGTATTATTCTCGCCTTATAAAATTACACACCGAATTACGATAGAATTTTCTATTCCGAGTATGGATATATATATTAATAAATTTTTTATTCCCTCCATTTTGTTTTGTTTTTAATATCACCGCCTTTTATAAAAACACTAAATATTTAAAAAGAAATAATTTTAAAGTTCACCCACACACACGCGGACGAGCACGCGAAAAGGTAAAAAAAAAAAAAAAATTCAATAAACGAAAATCGAAATTATAAAAAAAAGGATTGGTAAAGTTTAATAAAAGTTTTGAAACTTTTGAAAGTTTCAAAACTTTTTTTTCTATTGCGGAATCCACGAGGTTGTTTGCATTTGAATCGAGATTTCGATTGTAAAAAAATTGGCTAATCCGAAAATTTATTATTTCATTTTTTTTTTCACAACCTCTCCCCCTCTCCCCTACCTCCCTATTATCATTATTTTTCATTATAGATTCTATTATCGATTTCTTAATTGTTTCCAAATAATAATAATAATAATAATTCCTTTAAAATATTCGCGTGTGGATCAAACGCAGGTAATAATGATAATAATATGGCGGTCTCACTCGCGATTTGTAAAAAAAAAAAGTACAAGAAATTTTATTTACTTACTCGTACCATTTTTCTTTTTTTTCAGGTTGTA